GGTACCGCAAAAAAACAAGAAACAACACACAACCCAATATATTAATAAAAGTGTGAATGCAGCCGAGTGTATCGGTGCATGTTGCAACCCCAGCACCAGGAAGCTGAGCCAGAATTTCAAGTTTGAGCTGTGCCAGTTAAGGAGGTAGCAAAGCACCAGCACTTTCCCAGAAAAGTTCTCCCTGGCCTTGCTTCAGACCCCATTCGGACGGCTTTATGCAGTCGTCTTTCTCTCCTGCAAGAGAAACGTGCACTTGCCCTCCCTCGCGTTCCTTTCTTAGCTCCAGCTCCGCGGCCGGTGGAACCTTCCGGGTCGCCGGGCGGCAGCGCTCTCTGCTGGCCACTATGTGGATGGCGGGATCGGAGCCCAGAGGCTTCCTCACTCCCGAAGGGTCCGGTGGAAAAGGACAAAGATTAAGCTATCAGAAATAGTTTAAAGTTCCAGTGTTAGGGAAGGTTCAAGAAATGAAGGGTCGGAAAGATAGCTCAGTAGGGTAAGCACCAGGGCCTGAGTTCAATCCCCGGTTCCAAACACAAAAACAAAAAGAAAAGAAAAGAAAAGAAAAGAAAGGGAAAAAAATGGGCATCTTACACACTTAGTTGGTGGAGGAGTGATCCTTGAGAGAGAAGAATTAAGTAAAGATAAAGAAGTTACTGTAAGTGCAGATAATTCATAAGCTGCACATTTTGTTTGTTTGTTTCTTCTTGTGCTACTGGGTAGGAATCCAGGGGTGTTCTGCGGCGGAGTGACATCCCAGCTTTTTTTTTTCTTTTTTTTTTTTTTTGAGACATGTCTCACTAAGTTGCCCGGGCAGGACTTGAACCTGTGAGGCTCTTGCCTCAGCCTCCAGAAGTGCTGGAACTACAGGCCTCTGCAGTGTAACCAGCTTGAATATACACAGCTTTTACTTGTCAATTAAAAAATGCAATCAGAGAGTGCAGCCTGAGCTGAGACGGTGAGTGAGACTGAGTGTGGTGGCACAAGCCTGTAATCCCAGCACTTGGGAGGCTGGAAACAGGAGAATGCCTATAAGTCCGATTTACATAGTGAGACTCTGTAGACCCTGTCCTAAGTATTAAAAAAACAAACAACAACAATAAATACAAAATACAATCAACTGTCAGGGCGTAGCTCACTGGTAGAGTTCATGCTTAGCATCTGCAAGGCCCACGGTTCCATTCCCGGCACGACAAAATAAGTAAATAATGTTTTTAAGCCAAAAGAAGTGTTTAGAACTTCAGAGCTGCCGCTGCTAAAGACTACTGTGAGAATGTGCAGATACAAGAAGCTATATGGGTCATGGCGCCTGCTGCAGTATTGCCTGAAATAAGGAAAACGTGCAATATTGTCGTGTATGATTAAAAGAACCATATGGCATCTTAATTACTTTGCTGTCATCAGTTCAAAATACCTGAGGTCCTCAACTGATGAGAAGTCTAATTTGCTTCAGTATTAGAAGTTTTAGCCCACGGCTGTCAGGCTCGGGTGCAGAAACCGAGTGGTGGAAGGGTCAGGTGCAGAACAAAGCTGCCCACAGGGTGGAGCGCCAGAAGTAGCAAGGGGCCGGGGACACGGCTCAGTAGAATAAGCGCTTCCCTGGCAAGCACAAGGGCCTGAGTTCAATCCCCCGTTCAGCCAAAATGAAAAAGGAGAGAGA